CCTATACTTATCAAATTGTTAAATATTTTTGTATTACTAATGACCTTGCTGATACTTGTATGACACCACCTGGTGTGTTATCATTGGATGCAAATAATTTTATCACTGCACAGAAGTTCAGGATTACTTGAGTAAGAAACTGTAACGTGGTGTCGAGTCGCGATTGACTATGAACACCACTACAAGAAGACTACGTGCCAGTTAACCGGTAAAATCCCCCGTAAGCCAAATATCAGAAGGCAGTTGATGGCTGTAGTCGAGATGTATTTGTTGGCGATCTCGTGGTATTGAAAGGATACCGAGATCGTGCCAAAGGAGTACAAGCGTGGTTACCGAGCGTAACCGAACCCGCGCAAAGCCACAACTGAAAGATAATGGAGCAGTAATATAGCTGTCTTTAGCATAGTTAAACAAACGAGCACAGTAAAACGATCATTGGTACAATTGGTTATAATAATGATTGTTTCCATTAAATTAATCACGTTCTCGTGATAAAAGTAGGTCACTACAATACTGTTTAGATTGACACAGATAGAAGATCTGAAATCTACTTTAATGTCATCATTGGGTATTAAACTGATTAGCTTGTGCGCCAAGTTATTTATTTACAACTTTCACTTCAAAACGATGAAGGAGGCTACTTCTGCCTTATTCTTACCGAGTTGCTGACTAGAGTGAGAGGTTTAGGTTTGTATAGAAACTTTAATTGACAGTGAACCTAGAATTTATTATAATTATATTCAAGTTTATTTAAGTATATATATAATTCTACTCGTGTTGAATAAAGTACTGTTTAGCGTATACTCTGATTCTCTATATTTATTCTTGAATTGTGTATCTGATATAATGTCATCCCCGTTCGTGTATAGCACATCGATCGTGTCTAGTCTAGTGGCAGTTTAATCGTGGTCACCGATCGTATTATCGTATAATAGTAATATATAGAGGCAAAAGAAAATAATTTTGTTCTCCTGTTATCACACAGAATGTTGGGGTGAAGTGATATATAGAGTACTATCCGTTCTCTTAAAACACTAAGCATTTGTCTGAATTAGTGGATCAGTATTCACTGTATATTGAATTTCTATAACTGACATTAGCGAGCCCGTACAGAGTTAAACAAATGACACTAAGTATTCTTCTGTGAAAAGCGCAGTCATAACTTTTCCCTCCTCAGTAAACTAATCTCTGAATAGGTAACTACATGTTTGAAGAGTTGTGTGCCACGACACTGGATCTCGAAGTCATACCCTAAAGAGATCAATCCCCAACGCTCTAGTAGATTGGACATGTGTGCAGGAATATTGAAACTCCGGCTTATGATCTACTAGTAGAATAAATCTTTGATCAGAAATAAACTTATAAACCGGCGGACTGCAAAGACCAGAGTAGTTGTCTCACCTATCTAGCTGTATTTTCTCTCTGCTGGAGAAAGTGTTCATCAAGCAGACCTGATTACTTTCCCTTCCTCGTCTTTGAATAAGCGTGATATAACTGCGCTTCCACTTTGACTTGAAGCACTAGCTGCTATAATGACAGGCATGGTGGAGTCGTAAAACCTTGCAGACAATATTAATCTTAGGGGACATTTATTTATAAATAAATATAAAGGAAAGCGGGTTATAAAACATTAAAAACAGTATAAAATAACTGCCAAACTAAACAAGTGTAAATTTGACGTTTTTTATCAGTTTAATTGATAATTAAAATACTGATTAATAAGTTCATGTAGAATTGCATAAAGAAATCAACTAAACAATCATCTATATACTAATCAATCTTCAAGAAGAACTATTACTGTAAAACTCTCTTCCGGTTAGTTATTTGAAGGAGGATCACAACTTAAACTATTGTCACTGGTTAATTAAATGGATAATTTTAGAAATTTATTTAATGATCTATTTTTCATAATTCAAAGTAATTTTTTTGGGAATGCCAAATAACTTAAAATGATTACGAAGGTAATAACCATAATTAATAAGTTCCAACTATGAACAACTTTGTTCTATACAAAATTGGCCTTCTTGTTTGATGACTCACATGAATGTGGGCATAGTCATTTACATGTACAAATAAAAACATATTGATTGAAGGGCGTGAACAAGTAACAGTTAGTTGACATGATTTAAGTTGTTTGCTTAACATAAATGCCGTTAGCAAATAAATTAAGGTGTTTTTCATCGACGTCATAGCCATTATTAACAAGGCGAAGATATAATATTAATTGAAAACAAAGTTCATCTAGACAGTAATTTTATATTTCACTTCAGGAAATTATGTTTAAAAATAATTTTGGATGAAGATTCTGGTGGAGGTAGATGACCACAATTGACCAGACGTTCAGCAATCAATCTATTGACTTTTCTGTACCATGGGAGTTCATGATTCCAACCCTGCTTTTTATACCCAGATACGGTGTGATCAAACCCTTTGTTTACCATGGTACTAATGACCCCCATATTGGTTTTGTTTATATTTATTGACTTAATTTCTTACTGCATGATTTGAATGGTGCAACGAAAGGGCGAAGTTTATCAGAATTATGTGATGCATATTTGTGTAATACATTGTGTACAATTTAACCGCACATACTTATTAAGATATTTATTTATGAAAAATTAAAGGTCAAATGAGTCAAACACAAGAAAAACAAGGTTATCACACCATAATCGATAATAAATCAATATTTTCAGGGTAGGTACAAGGTGAGAACATAATATTTCTGAGCAGATAAAGGGGGTTTGAATTTTGCCTAGGGGCTCCATTAGATCTTAGTATGCACCCCTGAGCACTTATACAACACTACAAAGACTGATTTGATATCAACAACATAACGCGTTCGCACTAAATGTTTCATAATGGAGAAAGATGATTTTCTATCTTGTGTGCTCTTGTTCAACCATTGGAATTAATTTGTCCAATCACCCTGACATGCGTACCACAATTGCTCTTCCCTATGTATGTGTGTCTGCACATGAATGTAAACTGACAGATGAGGTAGGACGTGGCACACTCGTTAACATATATTTTGGTAAAACGTCAACCTCGATGGGTATGAGTTGGGCTGTGTGAAGCCCTACCTATTGCTAGCTTAACTTCACTTCGATATAAGACCATTTCGAATAATATGGATAAGTTACCTAGGTGCCAGAAGAGTAGTAAGTCTCACCATTTTGCAGATTTTACATCGACTTATGGATAGCCAGTTGTCTTCAATATTTCGGTTAGGAGCTTTACTTTAATCTTAAACGCCATGCAAAAAATAATATCGATTCTATTCGTTCACACATCTCGCTATTAGAATTCAAAATTTCACAAAGATCTCTTGTACTATATGAGTTATCAACTGATGAACAACATATTTTCACCGAATAAGTTTAAAAACCACAGAAGCACGACATAAATTTCCGACTAAATCCTGAGAGATATGTGTTTAGTTATTCTTCAGTATCCTTAACAAATGTAAAACTAGAACCCTTATCTCTAGGGATAAAATTCTGTGACAAATGAAACAATTAACACAATTCACACGTACGATCGATTCGAAAATCTAACCAAACAGACAAATGGTCTTAGTTTAGTTTCTAACCAGGAATTCCAACGTTTTAAATTCATTCTTATCGACAGCTGCAACTAGTATATTAGCGCAAAACTAACATGTAAAAGTCCTTTGACAAAAAAGTATAGAAATCAACTAAAACCATTTAGAAACAACAGAGGCTTGATTATAACGTGCCCAAATAAAGGTGGATGTCTAGTGCTATTAGACTGAGAGATCTGTGTCGAAAAAATGACAAAGTTATCATCAGATGACACTAAATTCTCCAAATCAATCATGCATACGTAACACGTGGCCCAACCATCTCAGTCGGAGATTTACAACCTCATCTACTGATTTACCATCATTCCCTGATACTGTTGGGATATTCAGAAAATCATCCCAATAATTATCTTGTTAAGTATAATGGTGTCCTTGGACTTTAAATGGGCATTTCCTATTGGTCAATACTTATTTCACTTATCAAATATTGTTTTCTATTTTATGGTACGATGTGGTCTGTTTGATTGGTATATAAACAGAGTATGTCTGAAATATAATGATTCATATTGCTGAGGCTTGCGTTCTGGACTCAACTGGCTGGGCTAGACAGGGAAGCGGGACCAATCAGAACCCTAGGCCGTCCTTACGTGTTTACGCGTCTTTGGTCCGATCGATAATACGCTGCTCCATAATCTTGCAGTCACAAGTTATAACAGATACCCTACGTCTAACCTCGCTATTACTTGCCCGGTGACCCCAGCAGATACGAGTAATATTTCTAAAGTATCTGTGATCAAATACTAGTAACTTACGGGTAGCTTCTATTCTTAATGGCCACATTTCGCAACCGAGATTCCTTTAGTGATTTTAAATGCCGAGAAGTTAGTATGTATCTTTGATACCCCGTATCCAACAGTTTGGCTTCACTCCAACTTTGACTATTTAATGGTTTAAGAGCGTGAGTACTCAGTTCATCATAAAGACTTCTAAATCAGGAATCTACTACCAATTCAGACATTTGTATTATGGAGACAGAAAAATTAAAACTAAGAGAAAGTGACTGATTTTCGTGAGCTGAGAATAAAGCGTAGGATAACTTAAATACGTGTTTATCAGGACCGACTGGAAATGAATCGACATGAACATTGTCATGGAAGGATTTCTCCACCCTTTTCCGTTTTCGAAATAACAACAAGAACATGACAGACTGCATATACTTCTGTTAATATAAACAATGCTCGCGTATGAATTGTCTAAGAGAAGTTATGTAATTTAAGTGGAATAATAACAATACTAGAAAGAACCATCTGACTAGTGAGCTTTGATTTCCCATGGTTGGCTAACTAAACTTAGTTTGTAATGTAACCCCCCCCATAAACTTTCTGTGAAATTATATTAATGTACAATAATACTTTTTCGTGCTTGTATGTTGCTAATTGAACAAATTAAAATGATACTAAGCAAATGAAAATGAACGGATTTTTTGTATAATTTATTTTTTCCATTCGGTTATCAACACCCACGTATAAAGAATTTACACATGTAAATAACAAAAATAATAGAAGTAATATTATGAAATAAATAACAATCTACAACGTGAAATTTAAAATTACATTTCTGTATACACATAACACAAAACAATTAAGATGTAATAATGAACTTCAACATTTTATGCCTAATTAAATCTCACACTACCAGTATCGTCGTCTGTGTCATTGTGTAGAAAGGGCAGGATAGGACATACATGTGAGTATGCGTGCGTGTGTATATGAGTTATAAATCTACATCTCAGAGAGAAGCGAATTCACAGCGATGAATATTTCGTGGAAAAACATTCACATAGAAAGTGAAAAGTAAAATAGCATCCACATAAATGTATATAACAAGAATGGGCAAAATAACAAACAAGAAGACAGTGCAACATGGGAATTATATTCACAAAACGGTAAACAAATTATACTTTAGTTCCGAAGCCTTTTTTCAATCCCTTCTAGTTTTTTTTGTCTCATTATTATCACTTCTACTTTGATGTCTGGCTAGTGATGATGAAGGACGAAAAGTAAACGCCTCATTTGGTTGAGTGTCAAGATGATTAGCATAAGGAAGTACTATTGTTGGGAATGTAACCAATCCGAAAAGCAAACATAATCCAACTTCAACGTAGAAACCGTCCAGCAATTTTGAACATGTTCCACCGATATCAAGACAAGCCTGTTAACAAAACAAAAAACCAGAGAAACCATAATTTGACTAACCCGCGTAATTTTTTAAATGACATTTGTAGTGAGTTAAAATTATATCAAAAGATAGTTCAGCAATGTAATTATGATTAAGGGTCAGGATAGTTCCTAATTTTAAACAATTGGGAATCATCTAACATGAACGTCAACGGATGGGAACTCGGATAAACCGAATGTCTAAGACACACCAACACTTCAACACCGATAATTTAAAATACAATAGGAAGACAAGGCTTTCAGGACAGCTTCATATTCCGAACAGCAGTCAAAATTGAAACAGAATAACTCTGTCCACGTAGTAACCCTTAGTGACCTTGAACACAACAAAATTAGAAAACCGAAAAAAGACGATGGGATAACGGTGGCGCAATATCGTGGATCGGTTGAAGTTAGACATTAAAACCTAATATCGTTTATGATAAACATAGTCGTACAAGGTCAAAGAGAGTTAATGTGGTTGGTGAGCGTTTCATGCTGTCGTTGATGGGTTCGTTTATCGATCACACTTTACACTGAGATCAATTTTAAAAACCAGTATTAAAATTACTCTTGTTTTGATGATGATTTTCTCAAAAAGAATTACTATTTAAATTTAAGCAATAATAAAGCAAAACTTAAAGCCATTTCTTATAGCTCATCATACAATACTACTTGCCTGAATAGTTTTAGAATTCTCACAGGTAGCATTATTAGCCAACCATAACTGTCCATTTCTATAAATCTCATCTTTTGAATATTGTATATGATGAGTTATATTCATTGTATTAACAGATTGAATAGAATTAGTTCGTAAAGATAATAACCCAGCTTTTAGTAAATCAGCTCCAGAGCATTTTCGTAGAGTAAGTGGTTCGACGAGTGATAAAAAGAGAGTATTCGGCAAACTTGTAGCTATGAATTGAAAACAGTTAACGACAAGTGTTTTATTTAGTAGAGAATAGTATGGATAAGATTTATAATGAAGATTAGTTTGTGTAACATGAATGATTTAATATGATACACACTAAGGATATCTCTGAGAAATATTCGTCTACTAAGCCATGAAATATACAAGCAGATGAATGAAGGAGTCAAAACTGACTAAGGCAGACACAATTGCCTTCGTAGATCGTCAAAGCACTATAATATTTACTGGTATAAGTAATCTTAAGAGACATATTCACATGTGTATATTTATATGAAAACAAAAAGTTACAAAAAATGATAGATTTATCGACTAAGTAGTATTTCACAACTTATTGGCCAGAATTTGAATAAGGTATAAACGTTCTCCGCTCAGAAAGAATCTCAATCCAAATTATTACAAATAAGGGGCTTCTGAAATCCACTAAAAATCCATAAAATACTAAATTAAGACATAACGGACCTTGAAAACGTTCTCATATATGGATCATCAAAATACTTTGCTACTGAGTCCTACAGTAGGACGATATAGCTTTCTAGTGCTTCCTGATATTCAATATTTGTCTGTCTAAAGTTAACTCGTGATCTAAAACAACCTGTAATCAATCAGGAAGAGTAAAAAATACAACCCAACAGCTCAAACTAAAACGAGTAAAAATAGATTCAAACCAATAAATCCGTAGCAGTCTTCACAGGACTAAGCCATAATCATATACATAAATGATAACAGTAGTAATATCGATCTTTCCAGTTTATTCCAACCCAGTAAAAGTCATGCAGACATTCTGAACAATATGAAAGGATATTTGTAGAAAAATTATTGCAATTATCATGATTTAATGGATTATTGAGGAAAAAAACAGACTTAAAAGTATTAATAAACTAACCTAAGTTAGCCGCAGTATTTAACAACGTCATATAAGTTCCACCTACAGCTGGATCACTTATTTTTGCATGAAATGATACTTGAGTAATAAACATCACAGTAGAGAATACTGAATAAATAGCCAAATGACAAATCATGATACCATAGAAAAGCCATGAGAATGATGTATGAGTTGTAGTTGATTCAAGGATGGGAGCTGACTCTTCTAATGTATGATTATTACGAATGATTGAATGGACTTGATTTGAAATTTTAAAGTACGGTGCAAAATAAATCAATGGAACAGATAATGTTGCTAGAAGTAAACTGTAAGAGAACGCTTTTAATAATAATTATGAGTAAATCAAGTATACGGCTCATGTACAAGAGTTATAAAATACTAAGCAGTTGCTTAAACTTAAGTAGATAAAAAAAAGTATAGAGCACAGTTATTCTGTTGTATCGGGGTAAGCATTGAGGAAGCTGGAAATTTTGGAACTATTTTACGGATTATTATTGTTTATGCTTCTACTATATAATTATTACATAACTGGACTATTATATCTCTACAATCGCTGTGTTGTAAGCTTCCGTTGGCTATATAAACTATTGTTATACGGATTATTATTCCTTAGTCATTTTCAAATAATTATGTGTCGTTTGTTACATTCTGTCACTTGTATGATGATTGTGTAAAATATGATCACATATATGGGATCTGTTGCGGTCCGATAATTCATATATATACTAGGTGGTTAGAATATAGTAATAGAAGCTTGCCTGCTCCGTTTTTTTATTTGGACTCAACTGGAGATAGAAGGCAAATATACAAAAGGACTAATAACAGTTAACATTATTCTGGAATCAATTCAAGGTTAATTGTACCAGTCGAGGCGTATCACTGGTTAAGGCTTAGGATGCAAGGCTATGGTTAAAATAGCACAAGTAGGGCAGAGGAAAATACTATAGGATTGTTACTGAGAGATCTCTGCTTCAAATATCCATTCACCTGTTTCTAAATCATATTCAATGCTTGATTTGATGACGTTTTCAAACATGAGGCGGGTCACTTATTCTTTCAGCTGTAAAATACCGCAGTAGCATTTCCCATTTCAGATTACTTTAGGCCATTTACGTAAATCAGTCGTACAATGTATTCACCTATTTTAAAAAGACATCTAAATACTGTAAGCTTTAAGCAGAAACATTGTAGTGGTTATTATATTTTCCGCTATCACAATACTTAGCGGGAAGGATACCTAGTAGCAATCAAATTTGTTCATTTAAAACCCACTGCTGTATAAAATAAATCAACCAGTACAAGTAACTTTCAATATTTATTTGATTTTGTAGATCTTCACAATTCCGAAGGTTAAAAATGCATTCGTCGTGATATTTGATATCGTAAACCTATATACATATAAAATAGTCAATGAAGTAACATTCACTATTCTAGCTAATGATAAACAGTATATAGTGTGGTGTGCGCTACTGATGTCGACACATATAAGTAGTATGTATCACCAATCGAAAGTGGAATGGCTGGAGGCAGAAGGTTGAGAAGATTGAAGGGAAGAGAACGAGAACAGAGAGTGATTGATATGGAAAAGAAGGAACAAGTAAGTCGGAGACGATTGATGGTCATTTTGCAAATGGAGTATTTACTGTATGGTTCTCAGATTTTACTGAGATAATAATAATAATGCCGTTGTTTATAGATTATCATATAGAGGAGATTGAATTTTGTACCCATTATACAGGAAATAACTGCCTATATTTTTAATGTAAAACATCCTTGAATGTTTGTATTCTTATACTCTCCTGTTTCATATACATGGTTCATTTTATCATCCTTAAGAAAGTAAGAACATAAATTCATTTTATTTTGTTTGATTCACGTCAGCTGCTTACAACTATTAACTTTGTATAAAAGAACATGTTCAATAATCTGATCAAAGTTTGACAAGTATCCCTTTCATTTTACCCCTAACCATGTTTATAAGTTTGTATGTACTTGACAAAGCAGCCGGATTGGCCGAACAGGGTGTAGTTTGATTTTCTAAACATGTTCCAAAAAGCCCTTGAACAAGAGAAAGAAGTACTTTAAACAGGGCAAATTACTAAACATATCCTGGATACAGGACATTAGGTCGGTAATTTTTAATCTTTTAGGTCGATTAACAGACACGCAAGCCCTAGTCCTATGAAATTTGCTGGAGCCGTCTCTATCAGGCGTCAGAAACTTGATGTATGTGTTAAAAAGATGGTTGTTATACTTTCTTTACCTTGATGACATTTTTTACACTGTATCATGAGATTTCTTCAATTGTTTCTTCTCCATTAATGATATCATCACGTCTTTTTATTTCGATTTCTAGGATGGTAACCTTATTGTAACAAATTGAGATTTACCCACTTTATTCTTGCTTATTATCAGCGTTTATTCATTACGTAACCACTTGTTTCTAGTCCAATGAACGTTTGTTACTATCAGTGTTGTAGAATGTTCTTTCACATAAAATATATATTTACGATATTCTATTTATTCTATTAACTCCGCCTGTAGCTCTTCTAGAGTTACTGCCGGTCCCAAGCCCGGGTAAAGGAGGAGGGTTGGGCATGGGGTTAGCGTCCCCATCCCGTAGAAAACTAACTCGCTAAAAAAACGCTAACCAGAAAAAATAATCCAAACCATTTTAACTCTGCCCTGGGAGTTAGAAGGTCTTCATTTAGAAGAATTATGAGGCTTTATGGTGAAAGCCCAGTTCCTTCGAAAGCCACGAGGCCGATGCCCCTTCTAACAACCAGAGCAACAACTTTTGTAGGTACATGGAACCTCCGAACAACGTGGGAGACCGAGAAGACTAGTCAAATAGCAACGGAAATGAGGAGATACATTTGGAAATACCGGGAATCAGCGAAACCCACTGGACCCAAGCCGGACAGAAAAGGCTAGCTACGGGAGAGATGCTGCTATACTCCGGTCGAGAAGAGGAAAATGCTCCACACACTCAGGGAATTGCTCTAATGCTGTCCAAAGTAGCACGAAATGCACTTGTAGGATGGGAATCTCACGGATCTAGAATCATCAAAGCATCATTCAAAACACAGGAGGGGATTTTAATGAATATTATCCAATGTTATGCACCCACCAATGATAGCAACGACGACATTAAAGATCAGTTCTACGAGCGGCTGCAGTCAATCATAGAGAAATGCCCAAGAAACGACCTCACCATCCTGACGGGAGATCTAAATGCCAAAGTCGGAATAGACAACACCGGATATGAAGATATTATGGGACGACATGGACTGGGACAGAGAAACGAAAATGGAGAAAGACATGCAAATCTATGTGCATTCAACAAATTGGTCATAGGGGGCACAATATTTCCACACAAGCTTATACACAAAGCTATATGGATCTCACCGGACCACACTACACAGAACCAGATAGATCATATTTGCATCAGTAAAAAATTCTGAAGGGTGATGGAAGATGTGAGAACCAGGAGAGGTGCTGACATAGCTTCAAATCACCACCTAGTTGTAGCCAATTTAACACTGAAGCTAAAAAAGAACTGGACAACTGGACAAACAGAAATACAAAGGTTCAATACAGCCTTCCTTCGAGATACTGACAGACTCAATGAATTCAAGATAGCTCTCAACAACAGTTTCCAAGCCTTACAAGATCTACTGAAGGAAGAAGAAACTAGGATGGAGGACAACTGGAAAGGGACCAAAGAAGCATTAACTTCAACGTGTCAAGAGGTTCTGGGCCTAAAGAAACACCATCATAAGGAGTGGATCTCTAAAGAAACACTGGACAGGATCAACGAAATGAAGAACAAGAAGACATAAATTAACAACAGACGAACACGAGCAGAGAAAGTCCAAGCACAAGCTGAATACACAGAAGCAAACAACCAAGTGAAGAGGAGCATTAGAGCCGACAGGAAGAAATACGTTGAAGAACTAGCAACGACGGCGGAAGAAGCTGCTAGAGAAGGAAATATGAAACAACCTTACGATACAACGAAGAAACTATCAGGGAAATACAGTAAACCAGAGAGACCGGTCAAAGACAAAGAAGGCAAGCCAATCACTGAAATTCAACAACAGCGGAACAGATGGGTAGAATACTTCGAGGAACTCCTGAATAGGCCGGCTACAATGAATCCACCGGACATCGAAGCGGCACACACAGATCTTCCCATAAACGTCAACCCACCAACGAAGGAAGAAATCAGAATGGCCGTCAGACAAATCAAGAACGGGAAAGCAGCGGGACCGGACAGCATACCAGCTGAAGCACTGAAGTCAGACATCGAAGCAACCACAAGCATGCTTTATCTTCTATTCAAAAAGATTTGGGAGGAGGAACAAGTGTCAATTGACTGGAAAGGACACCTCATCAAGATTCCAAAGAAAGGAGATCTGAGCAAATGTGAAAACTACAGAGGAATTACACTACTATCAATACCAGGAAAAGTCTTTAACAGAGTGTTGCTGAACCGGATGAAAGATGCAGTAGACGCCCAACTACGAGATCAACAAGCTGGATTCCGTAAGGATCGATCGTGCACAAACCAAATTGCGACACTACGGATCATCGTCGAACAATCAGTTGAGTGGAACTCGTCACTGTACATCAACATCATTGATTATGAAAAGGCATTTGACAGTGTAGATAGGAAGACATTATGGAAACTTCCTCGACACTACGGAGTTCCTGAGAAGGTTGTCAATATTATCCGGAACCCAAACGCTGGACTACAATGCAAGGTCGTGCATGGAGGACAGCTGACAGACGCATTCCAAGTAAGGACCGGAGTCAGACAAGGCTGTTTACTCTCTCCCTCCCTCTTTCTTCTGGTGGTCGACTGGATTATGAAGACCTCAACATCTGAAGGAAAACACGGAATACAATGGACAGCTCAAAATCAATTAGACGATTTGGACTTCGCAGATGACCTAGCCCTCCTATCGCATACACACGAACAGATCCAGACAAAGACAGCTAGTGTAGCAGCAGTCCCTGCATCAGAAGGCCTCAGCATACACAACGGGAAAACCAAGGTCCTCAAATTCAAAGCGGAGAACAGCAATCCAATCACTCTTGATAGCGAAACTCTGGAAGATGTAGAATCCTCTACATACCTGGGAAGCATCATCGATGAACAAGGAGACTCAGATGCAGACGTAAAGGCAAGGATTGGCAAAGCAAGGGTCGCATTCCTTCACCTGAAGAACATATGGAACTCAAAACAACTTTCAACCAATATCAAAGTCAGAATCTTCAATACGAACGTCAAGGCAGTTCTACTGTATGGAGCTGAAACTTGGAGAACTACAACAACCACCATCAAGAAGTTACAAATATTTATAAATAGCTGTCTTCGCAAAATACTCAACATCCATTGGCCGGATACCATCAGCAACATCCTTTTGTGGGAGAGAACAAATCAGCTTCCGGCTGAAGAAATTAGGAAAAGACGATGGAAATGGATAGGACATACATTACGCGAATCATCAAACTGCATCGCGAGACAAGCCCTAACTTGGAATCCTGAAGGGAAGCGGAAAAGAGGAAGGCCTAAGAACACATTACGTCGGATAATATAAGCAGATATGAAAAGGATGAATAGGGACAGGAAGCAGCTGGAAAGAATTGCCCAGGACAGGGTTGGATGGAGAATGCTGGTGAGCGGCCTATGCTCCTTCACGAGGAGTAACAGGCGTAAGTAAGTAAGTAATTTAATCTATTAAATTTACTGATAGCCTTACTGTGCTATACCAATGTGTGAACAGAGCAATTTCCCACTTAACTCTTTAATGTCGGTAATCTGATCTTTGAAATATTACAGGTTGTAAGCAGCTAAAGAGAAACAAACAACATACAGTCAATTCATGCTGTTCTGCTCAAATATTTTTTGCACCCTCCAGTTTGCAAGAGTTTTTTCGACCCATAAACCTTTGTCGTATGTTTTAATGCTCCAGAGTTCTAATTAATTACTTGTTTCCCCATTGCTTCGGTTTCGCATTACCTGTGATTGAGTGGCGTCAGTCAGTCAGTCAGTCAGCTACAACGTAGGACCAGGCACATATATGCATCGGTTCAAGTTGCCATGCCTCGTTAACACAACAAAATGGACACCGGATTCATAAAAGTAGTTAATTCAATGGTGGTAATATATAAAGAAAAGATTGCAATAAGGATATAGTACAGGAAGAAAGAATTAGTTAGCAGAAAGAAAGATATGGAGTAATTTTAGTCTTTTAGTTTAAGGGAAGACAGGGAGTGTATACACCGACGCCATTGTGATCGATTCTGAGCCATGTCACCAAGAGTCTCCAACTATTGGTTACGATAGTCACGTGGACCCCAACCAAGTAGTCTGCATCTACCAACATGGCTCAGACTAGAAGTTAGTGACTTCAAGCACTGATACCACGTTTTGGTTTGGCCGCCCCTTACTTTCTTCCAACCATCTCCAACACCGGTTAGCATTGCACGTCGTGGTAATCGGTGTTCAGGCATACGTAATACGTGGCCCAACAGTCTCAGTCGATGAAGATTCACAACCTCATCAACTGATTTACCATCATTCCCTTCCCCGGTGATCCCAGTAGACGTGAGCAATATTTCTAAGACATCTGTGGTCAAATACTAATAGCTTACGAGTGTCTCCTACTCTTAATGGCCATGTTTCACTGCTGTAAATTAAAACAGAACGAACTGCCGCGCAGTATACTCGTTCTTTTATTGATAGACGGATATCTCGCCTTCGCCATAGGTGACGTAAGTTGGCGAAAGCCAAACGAGCTTTTCGAATCCGTGCCGAGATTTCGTCAGACACCAACCCATTAGGGCTGATCAGACTTCCAAGATAAGTGAAGGTATCAACGCGTTCGACTACTTCACTCCCTATCCTTAGTTCAGGTGTTGACGCAGACCAGTCCTGAAGCAACAACTTGCATTTAGAGGGAGAGAAGCGCATTCCAAGCATTCTGGCATTGTTGCTCAGTGATACCAAAAGACTCGGCATTTTATCAGCGTCTTCAAACAGGATTATATCATCTGCGTATTCTAAGTCGATAAGTGGACCTCCTGGTAGGAGATCAATACCCGAGAATTCAGTCGACGAGAATGTTATTTCCATCAATAGGTCTATAATGAAGTTAAACAAAAATGGAGAAAGTGGACAGCCTTGACGGACATCACTTGAGGTTGCAAAAGCAGACGACAGTTCGCCATAAGCTCTGACTCGACTGGTAGTGTTCGAGTACAGAGCCTTCACAAGGTTTATGTACTTCTGAGGTACGCCTTTCAGTGACAGACACTGACACAGAATCTCGCGGTCTGCGGAGTCAAATGCTGCTTTTAAGTAAAGAAAGACCATCATTGTCGGACGTCGATAAGTATGCCTGTGTTCTAAAACCTGACGAATGGTGAGTGTGTGGTCGATGCAGCCACAACCAGGTCTGAAGCCAGCTTGATTCTCTTGTGTTTGCAGTTCACGAGTCTTAGTTAGGCGTTTGATAATTATCGAGGCCAGTATTTTAGATACTATGTTTGTTAAACTAATCCCTCTGTGGTTGTCACAGGATGATTTCGACCCTTTCTTATATATTGGGACGATAAGTGATTGTGACCAGTCAGATGGGATAACGTCCAACTCCCAGATCTTAGCTGAAATATTAGTCAACTTAATCGCTAAAATTGGACCACCATACTTAAAGACCTCTAGAGCCAATCCATTTGGACCAGCTGCAATTCCTCGTTTCAGATTAACTATAGCCTTTTGAACTTCTGCTAGAGTTGGGTGACCTACTTTAATGTTCCATTCAGACTGTCTGGTAATGGAGGGTAGTTGTAGAGTAGCTGAAGGCCAGCTGAACTGTTCTCTGAAATGTTCCGCCCATCGTTCTAAATGTCTGGACTGAGAGCAGATGAGGGTTTCGTTTTTTTCCGAAATAGTCTGACTTACACTTGGTTTATTAGTTACAGTTTCTTTTATTAGTCTGTAAAGCTGTCTTGTGTTTCCTATAGCCGCCACCTTTTCCATCTCTTTTGATTTCGTTGCCCACTACTGCTCATGGTCGTTCCTTAGACTTTTGCCTAACCTAGATCTGATTTGTTTTCGCTCTTCATCGTGTTCAGAGCCTGATGGGATGAGTTTACGAGAAACCATCAGTGCAATAGACCTTGGTTCTTTGTAACCCTGTAGTTTAAATCATTGGTAGATGTCACTACTGTTTCCACAGCTGTTTGTATAGCTTTCCAAGCAACATTTGGGTCAGCCTCGTTTTCAGAACTACCTAATTGTGACCTCAGTTGTTCCTGGAACCTACTTTTGGTTTTCTCGCTACTCAATCTAGTTCTAATGGGTCTTTTCACTGAGGCTTTTTTGCGACCAGTGAGGCGCAAGCAGATGCGTGCCCGTATTAGGGCATGGTCGGAGTCCAAGCAGGTACTCCAGAATGAGCAACAATCTTCTACCGACCCTCTACAACGATGACTGATGGCAATATGAATACTAAAATACCCACTTAAATGCCTTTCTGTTTGATTTAAACTACCTATCTGGGCATTAAAGTCACCTGCTACGAGTACTATGTCTGTGCGTTTAACTTTTTGCAGAAGTTCAGAAAGCTTTCAATAAAAGTCATCTTTCACTTCATCCGGGCTGCAGTCAGCGGGAGCGTAGGCAGAGACGACGAAAAGGCAACGATGTGTGTCCCTATCTTTTCGAGTTCTTACGTAGCCGTTTAGCCGAACAGCACATAAACGACTGTTAACGGGGATCCACTCTAACAGTGCTTGTTCCGCCCTTATGCTTAGTGCTATCCCTACTCCTGCCAGTCCACGAGAACTGGCCGTCGGGTCACCAGATACACGGAGGGTGTACCTCGTTGGTTCTCCGTGTTGCCGAGGTGAGGTCAAGTGAATGACCACACTGGAATCCTGTATGCGTGTTTCAGAGACACAGCATACATCAATGATAAGAGACTCTAGGGTTCTAGCCAGGGAAGCCCGTTGACCGATTTGGCATAGGGTGTGTACGTTGAAGGCTCTAATGTGTAGTATGGAGCGAGGTTTCAGTAGACCTGAGACAGTGTTTTGAGCACTAGAACCGTTGGCTATGGTGACACTTGAGGGGGAAGCCGAAAAAGGAAGTTTAGAGGCGAAAGTTGATGTAGGAGGAATAATAGGAAGTGAAGAGGAAGGTTGATTATGAATACAGTGGTCTTGAGTGCTGTTAGAGGTATGAGGGCGGTTATCACTTCCCGGTTGCCCACACCGTGGAAGGGTTGTTCTGAAGGTACCTGGAAAGGAAATTGGATTAGAGGTGGTCTTAGTGACCTGGGAGCGTGACCGCAGGGCCCAAGGGACAACTGCTTAAGGTCGGTCACACACGACGTTTTTATGGGTAATTTTTGTGTTAGCCCCGTACTTGTTGAGACCTTACCGCCGGAGACAGATATCCGTGGGATAAGGCGAGGTGTGCATTTTTAGGGCCGACCTTTTCTAACCCCACCCCTCCTTGTGGGAAGGCAGCATCGCTGTCATGCTGGTTATCTGAAGGAAATACCTTACTGCTGTCACACCTCTGTACAGTCAGCAGTACGACTTCGCCTTCGGACCTTGGGTTTGTTGCTTTTAGTCTTACCGCTCTTCAACCGACCTGTCTGACATGGCAGGACCTTGAGGAACGGTTGTTCCAGCCAGTACAGCTCGGTTGTTTCATCACGATAGGCAAGCCCGACCACCGCGTCAAGGTAGTAACGGCCGAGATGCGTATACATCGTAATTTTTGGTTTCTGTCCGGTATGTTCCTTCGAGTATATTACTGCATGGATTTCGAGTCATGATTGGATAGAGTACGACAGAGAATTAATCGGCTTGATACCTCCATTTTCTGATTGGTGAACGGGTGGGAAGATGCTCGAGGACTAACGGCCATTAGGGTCTTGATTGTTACTAAATGAACCCCGTGTCATTCGGTAAATAAAAGGTCACCAATGTTACAAATAATTTAGACAAATTACTCAGTAATAGGACTATAAAATACACATATTCTCATAATAAAGGCACAATCATGTGGACCTTTGTGCAAATGAAGAACCTGTTTATTTGACTTTTATAACATAGATGCACTCGAAAAAACGATTATACACAAAAAAAGCCTACCGAGGTAAAAAAGCCCATGTATAATATTTTAATAATTTCGGTCCATTTGTCACTTGAGTAATAAGCAGTGGTAGAATCACTTCAAGCGGTAAAAGTAGGACCCCAATGAAAACAAGTTGCTCTCTTGGTAGACCTTGTTCGATTAGCTTTAGTCCAGATATCGCATCTGCAGGACAGAAGCAAACCTAATTATAAAAATACAAAGAAACACCTTGAATTAGGTCTAAAATCATATAAATAACAATGTACACAAACGAGCAAAAGTACACCGACAACTAATGACTGAAATACTAAGTTTTTGTAAATTAAACATCTGGTACAGATGCGAAAAAAAACATTAGTTGCTCAATTATTCATTTTTAAAATGTGTTGGTGGCAATATCTACAAACCTGATACTTAAGGTGAAAAAACAACTGCTACATGGACAGTTTCTCAAATGAGTTTAAGCGACGTCCTATAAGTTTTGTCAGATAACAAACAGATTTCCAGTTATTCCTATTAGCGTTTATGGCATGTACATTTGATGATTATTTTGTGAAGTATTTACTGAGATATTCAGTAAGTCATCATTGTTTAACATTCGATATGTGTCTAAATTAAGTCAGAGGTAAAGCTAATGATTACAGTGCTCTAAGAAATGTCGTCAACCGAGTGTGAACGCTGCAAGATGTTAGCTTCAAATTTAATGAGTTCTATAGATAGACCGAGGGTGTAGCGATAGGGTTAACACTTGGTCCACTTCTAGCTAGCTGTTTTTATTGCCAATCTCGAAATCGTTATCTTGCAACTAATAATTGACAGTCTCTTCCCATAAAAAAGACATTTAGACGATACTTTTATTATTTGCGACAAAAATATTAGTTTTAACGACGTCATGGACACGTATAATAATTTCTATCAATCACTTAAGTTCGTGATGGAATCGAAGTCATATCTAAAGGAAAAGCTCCCGCTTTAGGCTAACAGTTTACTTGCTCACATAGAACAGGTTATATTGCCCGCTCGTTCAAAGCGCATCTAACATCATCTTACCTGGCTATATAAAAGATTGCGAAAGTCAATCAAAAGCTCAGTTTTGGGACGTCTAGTTAATTTTGGACATTCTGCTTCACCAGAACAGTTTTTCAAAATCATTCATACATACAAATATACAGCAGAGGCTATAACTAACTATCCAATAATTCAACACTAACCTTTGTGTATAGAAACAGTATGTTCCATCCTTCAATCCTATGATGGCTTTAATCATCATTTCTATCACAATCTATAGTTTTTCTTCTACTTCCTTCCAGTACTTTTCATAACTATTAATTATTTATTATTAAGAATTTTAATTCGCTGTTGGATTATTGAATAGCTTCCCTTCTATATCTGATTTTTGTAAACAATTTACGACACGATGCCAATTCAATTTTTTAACATTCTATTGCAATACGGACTGTCGTTTCTAGCAAACGAATTATCGATAAATACGATTATAAAGTCTAAGTAAGTGACATTTTCAAAAACAAAATTTTCTTCGCTCAATCGTCTTTACTCTTCTTCGAAGACACAGGACGCTTTCGTTATTTACGAAAGTTTATGATAGATACACTGAATCCTAGATCATAATAACTGCTTGTGACATTTGGAATGCTTTTTCCGGTACTGCTGTGATGTGTAGTAAGTTGAGCTAGTATGGAGTATTAACGTAAAAAGAAAGAATTAGTAAATAAATCTTTTTCCAACATAGGACAGAAATCAGTACTACAAGATAAAATTCTTTGATTTGTTGACCTCAAATTTCGTGGGACAAGATCAAATACAAATATATATAATTACTTACCTTGGCAATGAATAATAACAATATGTATTGTAAAATAGGCTTCAATTTACAAATACCTAACATAAAACGATAGGTATCAAATAATGACAATTCTTTGTTTGACTCAGTTACATTCAGTTCTTCATCGGGAGGAATTTCAATAATACGACTCCAACCACTGGGAGTACGTGAACGACTTCGAGTGGATTCACAACTAATTTGTTTATCAATTGTATTTGTTTGTGCGATACGATTTCTAGACGATAACTGTCCTTCGATATTTCCTGTTTGATTTAAATAGGCTACCGAACCATTTGAATGATTATCAAGTTGATTAGAATGAGCAGATGATATAACGGACAGATTATGAGGTACTTCCTTCTTAAAAACTCCAACAAGTGTGGTTGCCACCAGGAATACAATACCCCAAAAATAAAGAAAACCTATTTTAAGAAATAATACAATACACATAAGCACGGTTTACTTTGATCCCAGGTAAATAGAATGAAGTTAAATTTTAAAGTAAAATGCATCATTTTTTTATGAAAACTCATTAACTAAAGTCAAAATAAAACAACTGAGTTTATAAATTGAATCAAAGCAACTAATCTAAGCAACAGGATGATTATTTTCATTCGAGTTTTAACAAAAGAAACAAATGTGTCACATTATCGAATTTCATCAAACTAGCATAACGACAAACTATGCATCTATTTTGAGATCTGTGATGTAATCAAGCAGATATAAGTTAGTAGGATTATTTTAGTTTAAAGAAATCTTGACTTGCACTAAACTTTTTTGAATCAACAGCTCATAGCGATAAAACTGTAGTGTCGGTTACTATGTTAAGCTCAGATAACTTATTCTAGCTTCTGGACAGATTAATTTATTCATTCTTCTTGATCCACGTTTTGAACTTGTCAACCTTGACCGCTTTTAAATGAGCGTGTGTGCATTTCTTATTCTACACATGTTTGTAACCTATTTTTCTGTGACTATAAATATCGATTCACACTTGATTAAATCGAGTTGGCTTACTTCTCTTCTCCATTGAGCATCATTTTGTTTTGCTTCGCTTTCCAATCGACGATTATACGAAATATACGTATTCAAATATGCATTTCCGTATTTGACTTATTTGATTCGCTTATTCACCGACGCGACTTAACCCGATGATTATATACGAGGATTGGCAACACATATATTTTAATAACAATCACTCAAACGATCTAGTTTGGGTTAGATACCAAGCCACTAAAAAACAACTTATAAACTGCTCACATAAAGTATCTGGCTGGTATGGGCAAATTTTATGGTCGAATAGTTATTTATAGAGTAAAGCTTCAAGTTCAATAATGTGTATCGTAGGATTGCTTTAATTTAGTTGATAAAACTTATAGAATAGTTTTAATGATATGACACTAATTAATCAATATGCATCAACATTCGTCATATAAAAATAAATAAGTATTAAACTAAATCTAACCTGAAAAAGTAATCAGCCCTTCACCTTCAACAGGAGTCAATCGTATATACTTATTAGAAATATCTGGTGATTCTAAACACATGAGGACGACAAACGCAATTAAATGACCCAATGTTTGACCAACTGTATTACATGTGGAAGCCCATCCTAAGTTTTTCCTAAAATAGGAGGAGCAGAATTAAGCAAAAAATTCAAGTCGCAATTAGAAAGTTTGATATATGCAATATAAAACAATATTTATTTTCAGGGATCTAATAAAAACAACCATATGAATTAAGATTGACTACCAAAGGGACCGTTAAAAGTTATAAGGACGCTACATTAGCCGTCACCCGGAAACACGTAGAGAGTATTGGGACGAGGAATTCGAGATCTCACAGTGAGCACAACGCAGTTTACCTACTTTGTCAGAATTTTTATTTACAAACTCCCCATCTATTGGATACTACAGGTATGTACATTTTGTCGCTGCAAACAGATAAACTATAAATCACAACTTAGCACTAAAGCTCCATCGCTGAATATTAAATTTTTAGTCAGGGAAATCGATTATGAACATAGTGGTCTCAAGTGCTGTTAGAGGTATGAGGGCAGTTATCACTTCCCGGTTGCACACACCAAGGCAGGGTTCTTCTAGAAGTGCCCGAAAAAGAAATTGGGTTAAAGTCGGTTTTAGTGACTTGATATCGTGGCCGCGGTGCCCATAATACAACTTCTTGAGGCCCGTCACACACAACCTTTTTGTGGGTAATTTTCATGTTAGCTCCGTACTTGTCTAGACCCTACCGTCGGAGACGAATATCCGTGGGATGAGGCGAGATGTGCATTTTCAGGGTCGATCTTCTCTAATCCAACCTTTTCATTATAGGAAGGCAGCATCGCTGTTATGCTAGTTGTCTGAGGGAAGCACCTTACTGCCACCACACCTCTGTAGAGTCGGCAGTAAGACTTCACCCTCGGACCTTAGGTTCACTTCTTTTAGTCTTGCTCCTCTCCAATCGACCTGTCCGGTATGTTAGGAACTTGAGTAACGATTGGTCCAACCAATAAAGCCCGACTGGTTTATCACGATATGCAAGCCCGACCACCACGTGAAGGTGGCAGCAACGGTCGGGATTAAATTTTTAAGTAAGATTACATCGAGATGTCGAAAAGATGGAGAATGATATTTATTACTAACCATTTATAACGTGGAAGAAAACCATCAAGTTTGCTGATTAGGTCCTAAACTTGTTGACTTACGAGTGATCTACGAAATTCGCGCTTTAAGAATGAATACGCTTTAAATTATTTGTAATTAAGAATAATTCTGTTTGGTACTTTATAAATATGTATGTTATTTTAATAGAAAAAAACTGTTTCTTAGCTTGTTGTTACAAATCTTTATATTAGATATTTGTGCCGATAGCTTAGTCACATAGGTTGTTACTTCACCATATTACAAAATAAAGTTATTAAATGATTAGCATTTTATTTCAAAAATCGGCAACTAAGATATAGCCATAATCAAAATCTGTTCACAACGCTTAACTAATACAAGTGTGAACTAATGTAAACTCTTCTCGACCGTTGTTGCTACCTTGACGTGGTGGTCGGGCTTGCCTATCGTGATGAAGCAACCGAGCTATACTGGCTGGAACAACCGTTCCTCAAGGTCCTGCCATGTCAGACAGGTCGGTTGAAGAGCGGTAAGACTAAAAGCAACAAACCCAAGGTCCGAAGGCGAAGTCGTACTGCTGACTGTACAGAGGTGTGACAGCAGTAAGGTATTTCCTTCAGATAACCAGCATGACAGCGATGCTGCCTTCCCACAAGGAGGGGTGGGGTTAGAAAAGGTCGGCCCTAAAAATGCACACCTCGCCTTATCCCACGGATATCCGTCTCCGGCGGTAAGGTCCCAATAAGTACGGAGCTAACACAAAAATTACCCATAAAAAGGTCGCGTGTGACCGACCTCAAGCAGTTGACCCTTGGGCACTGCGGTCACGCTCTCAGGTCACTAAGACCACCTTTAATCCAAATTCCTTTTCAGGTACCTCCAGAACAACCCTTCCACGGTGTGGGCAACCGGGAAGTGAAAACCGCCCTCATACCTCTAACAGCACTCAAGACCACTGTATTCATAATCAACCTTCCTCTTCAATTCCTATTATTCCTCCTACATCGACTTTCAACTTTAAATTTCCTCTCTCGGCTTCCCCCTCAAGTGTCACCATAGCCAACGATTCTAGTGCGCAAAATACTGTCCCAGGTCTACTGAAACCTCGCTCCAAACTACACATTGGAGCCTTCAACGTACGCACTCTATGTCAAATTGGTCAGCAGGCTTCTTTGGCTAAAACCCTAGAGTCTCTTACCATTGACGTGTTCTGTGTCTCCGAAACACGCATACAGGATTCCAGTGTGGTCATTCACTTGACCTCACCTCGGCAAAACGGAGAGCCAACGAGGTACACCCTTCGTGTATCTGGTGACCCGATGGCAAGTTCTCGTGGACTGGCAGGTGTAGGCATAGCACTAAGCATGAGGGCCGAACAAGCACTGTTAGAGTGGATCCCCGTCAACAGTCGTCTATGTGCTGTTCGGCTGAACGGCTACGTAAGAACTCGGAAGGATAGGGACACACGTCGTTGTCTTTTTGTCGTTTCTGCCTACGCTCCCACTGACTGCAGCTCAGATGATGTGAAAGATGAATTTTACAGAAAGCTGCCCGAACTTCTTCAGAAAGCTAAACGCTCAGACATAGTACTCGTAGCAGGTGATTTTAATGCTCAGATAGGCAGTTTAAACCAAACAGAAAGGCATTTAGGTGGATATTTTAGTATTCCGACACAGCGAACAGATAATGGTGAGCGTCTGCTGCAGCTATGCTCAGACAATCGTTTATTTTTAGCAAACACAAATTTTAAGCATAAGGAGAGACATCGTCTAACATGGCGACCCCCTACACCAAACCAACGATGGACTCAAATAGACCATATTGCCATCAGTCATCGTTGGAGAGGGTCGGTAGAAGATTGTCGCTCATTCTGGAGTACCTGCTTGGACTCCGACCATGCCCTAATACGAGCACGCATCTGCTTGCGCCTCACTGGACGCAAAAAAGCCACATTAAAAAGACCCGTTAGAACTGATTTGAGTAACGAGAAAACCAAAAGTAGGTTCCAGGAACAACTGAGGTCACACTTAGGTAGTTGTGAAGACGAGGCTGACCCAGATGTTGCTTGGAAGGGCATACAATCAGCTGTGGAAACAGCAGTGACATCTATTAGTGACTTAAACCACAGAGTTGCAAGGAACCAGTGGATTTCTTCAAGGTCTGTCACACTGATGGATTCTCGCAAACTCGTCCCATCAGGTCCTGAACATGATGAAGAGCGAAAACAAATCAGATCTAGGTTAAGAAAAAGTCTAAAGAACGACCGTGAGCAGTGGTGGGTAACGAAAGCAAAAGAGATGGAAAAGGCGGCGACTATAGGGAACACAAGACAGCTTTACAGACTAATAAAAGAAACTGGAATTAGTAAGTCAAGTGTAAGTGAGATTATTTCGGAAAAAGATGATACTCTCATCTGCTCCCAGTCCAGACGTTTAGAACGATGGGCGGAACATTTTAGAGAACAGTTCAGCTGGCCTTCAGCTACTCTACAACTACCCTTCATTCCCAGACAGTGTGAATGGAACATTGAAATAGGTCCCCCTACTCTTGCTGAAGTTCAAAAGGCTATAGTTAATCTGAAACGAGGAAGGGCAGCTGGTCCAGATGGATTGGCTCCAGAGGTCTTTAAGGATGGTGGTCCAATTTTAGCGATTAAGTTGACTAATATTTTAGCTAAGATCTGGGAATTAGACTTTATCCCATCTGACTGGTCGCAATCACTTATCGTCCCAATATATAAGAAAGGGTCGAAATCATCCTGTGACAACCACAGAGGGATTAGTTTAACAAACATAGTATCTAAAATACTGGCCTCGATAATTATCAAACGCCTAACTAAGACTCGTGAACTACAAACTCGAGAGAACCAAGCTGGCTTTAGACCTGGTCGTGGCTGCATCGACCACATATTCACCATTCGTCAGGTTCTAGAACACAGGCATACCTATCGGCGTCCGACGATGGTGGTCTTTCTTGACTTAAAAGCAGCATTTGACTCGGTAGACCGCGAGACTCTGTGGCAGTGTCTGTCATTGAAAGGCGTACCTCAGAAGTACATAAACCTTGTGAAGGCTCTTTACTCGAACACTACTAGTCGAGTCAGGGCTTATGGCGAACTGTCATCTACTTTTGCAACCTCAAGTGGTGTCCGTCAAGGCTGTCCACTTTCTCCATTTTTGTTTAACTTCATCATAGACCTACTGATGGAAATAACATTCTCGTCGACTGAATTCTCGGGTATTGATCTCCTACCAGGAGGTCCACTTATCGACTTAGAATACGCAGATGACATAGTCCTGTTTGGTGAAGACGCTGACAAAATGCAGAGTCTTCTGGTAGCACTAAGCAACAATGCCAGAATGTTTGGGATGCGCTTCTCTCCCTCTAAATGCAAGTTGTTGCTTCAGGACTGGTCTGCGTCAACACCTGAACTAAGGATAGGGAGTGAAGTAGTCGAACGCGTTGATACCTTCACTTATCTTGGAAGTCTGATCAGCCCTAATGGGTTGGTATCGGACGAAATCTCAGCACGGATTCGAAAAGCTCGTTTGGCTTTTGCCAACTTGCGTCACCTTTGGCGAAGGCGAGATATCCGTCTATCAATAAAAGGACGAGTATACTGCGCGGCAGTTCGTTCTGTTTTAATTTACGGCAGCGAAACATGGCCCTTAAGAGTAGAAGACACCCGTAAGCTACTAGTATTTGACCACAGATGCCTTAGAAATATTGCTGGCATCTGCTGGGATCACCGGGTAAGTAATAGCGAGGTTAGACGCAGGGTATTAGGGAATGATGGTAAATCAGTTGATGAGGTTATGAATCTTCATCGACTGAGATGGTTGGGCCACGTATTACGTATGCCTGAACACCGATTACCACGACGTGCAATGCTAACCGGGGTAGGGGATGGTTGGAAGAAAGTTAGGGGCGGCCAAACCAAAACGTGGCATCAGTGCCTGAAGTCACTAACTTCTAGTCTGAGCCATGTTGGTAGATGCAGACTACTTGGTTGGGGTCCGCGTGACTTTCGTAACCAATGGTTGGAGACTCTTGGGGACATGGCTCGGAATCGATCACAATGGCGTCGGTGTATACACTCCCTGTCTTCCCTTAAACTAAGAGACTAAAATCACTTCATTCTTTCTGTCTACGAACTAATTCTTTCTTCCTATACTATATCCTTATTGCAACCTTTGACCTAACCACTCCTATGAATCCGGTGTTCATCTTGCTGTGCTAATGAGGTATGGCAACCTGGACCGATGCACATATGTGCCTGGTCCTACGTTGTAGCTGACTGACTGACTGACTGAATGTAAACTCTTTGGACAGATAGCTGTGTATCTTTCTCAGACTTCAGTTGAATAGCTCATTAATTTCTCGTAGAATTAAATATTACAACTATTTACATAGCTAATCACATATCAGTGACTTTAGACTCGATCGGCTTCAAGTGTAATTTCGACCAAGCAAGCGATCATTGGTGAAAAGTAGCTGGCAGTTTTCAAAAATTCCTATGTCAATAAATGTGAAATTTATATTCCCTAATATACACAAATACTGGTTAACTGGAAACCGAAATAAATATGCGTAGCACAAATAAGGGATTAAAATTGTGAACAGGTAGAGGGAGTATAATCTAGAACAAAGAGCTAGAGAGAAATAAGTGAACGAGAGTATTTTTCCCTTTGCTACAATGCAATTAGAGTCAATATTTAACTCGATATCGAAACACTCTTATTGGATATTATGTACTCTCTCAACCGTATGACCAATGTGTTTTATGTAGGATACATGGAATGTGTCTGGCAGTGGAAACCAAGACGTTCGTTTCTTCCTATTTGAGACTAGTCAATTGCATGTAACTCGATCCAAGAGCTAATGCTCACTTTAGGACTCAAACGCCACTGCGTTATCCACTTAGCTACTGAATCCAGATAACCACCCACTAGTGCAATGGGTATGAGTTTTAATTCAGTTTGAAATGAATTGGATTAGTCTGTTACTGAAATCCGAATGACAAGTCCCGAATAGGACGGAACACGCATCTTGGGTTTCCCTGCTAGTCATATTCCATCCATTCTATACTACATCGTGATCTAATGACAATCTGCACAGGATGCCCACATCCCAACCAAGGTTGATCAAATTTCGGGATAATTCAGGTCATTTCAAATCAATGTCTCATTTCTTTTACAAATGATCACACTGGTTATTATGATTACCTTATTTTCTTTTTTTTTTCTAATTATATATATTTTAGTATACGCTTATAATGAAAAAATAATTGAAAATAAATTTTTTCCAGCTCTGTTACCTTCTCGCTAAATGTCTAAACAGGAACTTTAACTCCACAAAAATAAATATAATCCAACAGCTATTTTGATCGCTTCTTTCTCATAGATATGTCATACAATAAACTCACCTAGACAACATTGTAAGTGCCCATCCATCTACTACAATATCTTGTGTAGCTGCAAGAAAAGTAAGTCCAAAGAAAGCTACAGTCAAGCGTGAGATATCCACTGGATGCACTACACCTAATGGGCCCCATGGGTTGTCAGGTGTACGCCCCAACCACTGGTTAACATAGAGCGCGATAATAAGTAGGTTAATTCCAAGAGCATATTGAACGGGAATGAGCCAAGTCTTTCGCCTTCCTATACGTGAACTGTACAACGAGTCTACTATTGGAGCCCAAGCTAATTTAAGTGAAAATGGCCAAAATGCAAACGAGAAAGCTGCTTGTGATTGGTAATTAGCCGATTTTGGATCTGATTGTAATAAGTAAGGGACTGCAGACGACAGTCCAAGAGGAATGCCCTAAAAATGAGATAAATCGCACCAAAAAGATATTTGATTAGTTCTAAAATCTATATCAGATGATCAGTTAAAACCAATGACATGGGAAATATTGACTATAAAAATGTAAAGGCAAGCAAACACTAACAGTCCGTTGCTGAAATTTAAGGTACTCTAACGTCAGTCTCGACCCTTCTACAGACCAGATATGAAGAATGGAGGTAGCTACAAGGCCGCACAAGCTATTAGTAAATTCAAAAGCGAACATGGTATCTCACTTATACCTTAAAAATACTTTGAAACTTCCCTGTACACGCTTTATGAACTTAGAAGTGAATATGTTTAGGCAAATGAGAAACACGTTTTAACGACTTTGGTCAGAATATATCTATATACGTTGAATTGTCTAGTTCAGTTTAGTGACGCTTGGGAAACGCTTAAAAACAAAATAAGTGATGCGCTTAGCTAACCGAACACTATGATAGTGTATGAAATCCGATGACCCGAAATAGTGACTTATCGAACATTTTTACGGAGAAGTTAAGCAGACCTAAAATGTGCTAACTGACACACTAATTCCGGACATTTACAGCAAACTATTCTTCGTTTGGGTTAATTTTTCGGTTGACGGATGTTAATTGTCAAGCGGATTGGACAAAAACTGTTTGCTGACAAATATGAAACTTGAGGGCCTAATAGACTACAGAACCAGGACAAAATTACACTGATTTGTCTGAATCATATGAGTACTGGGGCAACGTAATCTGATGCATCCCTGAATGACTTATCGAGCGCTTACCGATTGTACAGTTTTGAGTCTTTTCTGTGCATAAACTAATGGAGACTTATATACACGCTCTAAAATCTAAATGATTACTTCGAATTTGATCTGCTGCTGCTACAGTGTGCTTAAAGTATAATCCTAAAACCCTTGATAGTTGGCCTTTTAGTGTTTTGTTAATAACGGCGATTCCGTTTAGTAGAGTAATTGGCTTAAGAAATTATAAAAAATTAGTTGAAACCACGTATGTTGGAAGTTACATTTCGATCAAAAAATCTAAAAAACTACACTTAAACCTTAATCTACATAATAATCAATATTTGGAATACTCGAGTATGCTAAGAACGTTTTAAATAATCAAAAAACCCACTTGCAAAATGTAGAGGAATATGAGGAGACAAATATTACAAAAGTCTGAAGGTTCTTTATCAAATTTTCCGTCAATATAACCTTGATTTGCAGATGGGTCAGTTATAACAAGTGATTTCTTCTTGGCCATTTTCAAAAGACAATTAATCGACGACTTCGATCTAAGTATTTCTTGTGTTGATTAAAAGATCGTGGTACAAATATGAAACCTAGTTTTCGAGAGGATTGACATAAACCTCAAAGATGCTGAGGTGTAAGATCAGAGATACTCCACTCGACGGGGATGGAAGGCTAAAATAAAAAACATGGTAGTACAACACCAGTTGGTAGTGGACAAATCGGAAGTTAAGAAAATTAAGCAATAAGGAATGTGGAGAGCTTGAGGTTTTACACTCATTTTACTGCTACTCTTGATGAACAGTCATTCTCCTACAACTGATGAGTAAGTTAGCGGAATATTTGTTGTGTGTTGGCTTGACATAAAATAAGATCCCACCCCCAAAACCAAAACGGGTTAAGATGAAGAGAATCCGCTCTATCTCGAAGTGTTCTTATATGGTCATGTGTTTATGCCCACTACCACAGAAGCCGAAATCGATACTTACATGCAGCAGAGGCGTTGGAATACCTTGATTTTAGGTCAGTAGTGCTCATGGACTCTAGGGTCATGAAGGAAAAATGGCATATATATTTAATTTTAGCCACTAGCTGCCACAAGGCGACACTTCTGAACGTTGCTCCACTGCCTTATGGACTGGACCTCTAAGTCGAAACTCGAGAGGCGGATTTTGTAAGAAAACCACACGTTTCAGCTAAGGAGGTTACGTGGTATTCCATATGACTCACAAATATGACAACCGAAAATTGTGAAAATGATATTTGGATCTGCTTCCTCATTGGCAAAAATGATAATTGGCCTAGATTTGACTTAAATGTATTTTTGAGCCGAAAAACAAAGAATAAAAAGCTGAGCACAATAATACAAATTCACTCTGTCTTTCCAGGCTTTCATTAGCTGACAAACAAACCTTGTGGTACGTACCACAAAGTAATTAGTGGTACAATGTACATTATACCACTGATACGCTGCTTATGTAGTTCCACATGACGACATAATACACCCTCCACACAGGAAGGACTAATGCTAAAAATCTTAATAACGCAAGAGAAAATACTCACATCAACAGTCTGACAAATCGTATGAGATAGGTGGTACGAAAAGGACGTTAACAACTCGAACGAAGAAAAGTAGAGATCAGCTCAAATCTCCCACTTTCGTTAAGACAACCTTGAGCACAGTTTTAGTGTTGAAGGAACACATGTTTGTCTTGCTTGCTTTGACAGTGATGGTCTCTCAAATGATCCAGTTTTTATTAGAATGCGCCGAAACACTGACCTTATACTGGCATTTTGTATCTGTAATTATGATTTGGGTGTTAATATGTCTTATAATTTTGCTCCCTCCAGCACTAATAATCTCCGCGGTCATAGCAAGAATGTTCATAAATCAAGATCTAATAAACTTAAAGTGGGATCCCATTTTTCTCATCGAGTCAATCATTGGAACGCCTTACCCGAACAAGTGGTATCAGCCCCATCAGTGAATAGTTTCAAGGAGAAGCTGGACCTTCGCTGGAAAGCAGTGTGTCAGGATTAACACAGGCTCATCAACATACTATCCTTATTACTGAAGACTGATTTATTCATGTATCAAAGTAACGAGTTTCATTCACAGAGGAGGACTTTGGAGGACGACTTTGGTAAGGCTCAAGTGTTCTCGAACTTCCTGCCAGCGCATACAATCCCCACACACATACACTAGATAGCGTGATCGTTAAAGAACTCGATGTCTTTGGTCTGCTAAATAGGCTTGACATAGGTAAGTCCACGGGGCCCGATGATTTGCATCCTAGGCTACCAAAGGAATTATCTAACTTCGTTGAGAACCCTTTAAGTATATGCTTTAAATTATCCGTAACGCAAGATCGTTTACCAAAAGACTGGAAGAACGCCATATTAAGTCCCGTCTTCAAAACAGATACGAAACGTAAACCTGACAATTACCGACCCTTTAGCCTGACTAGAGTGGTTGTTAAAATCTTAGAAAAGATTATTCGGAAGGAGCCGTTTAAGTACTCGGATGAAAACCGAATTCTTTCGGAGAAGCAGCACGGTTTTAGAGTAGTTTATTCTTGTCTCGTTAACTTATTAATCGCTCGTGAAAGCTGGTGCGCTATTAAGAACCAAAAGTTATCTGTAGACGCAGCCTACATTGATTTCAGCAAAGCTTTTGACAAAGTTCCGCATAAACTGCTGTTATATAAGCTAAGAAATGTCGGGATTGGAGGCAATGTATTGATGTGTTGGGTGCCAACAAAGAGCACAGATAAACTCAAAGTTATCTAGCTAGGGAACTTTACTTAATGGAGTGCCCCAGGGTACAGTTTTTGGGCCAGTGCTATTTCTCTTGTATGTAAATGACCTTCCTCGTCTCCTATCATCATCGGTCTTGCTATATGCTGACGATGTCAAGATATGGAGAACGATACGATGCAAAGGTGATAGCTAAGAACTCCAAACTGACCTGGAGAAATTATCTGAATGGTCTCAAACCTGACAGTTGCTGATAAATACTTCCGAGTTTGTTGTGATGAATATCGGTCATCAAGGTACAAACACATACACGATGAATAACACTGAGCTACCTGTCGTCCAGACACATAATGACTTAGGAATCATCGTTAGCCAAGACTTAAAGACTACTGCACATTGCCGTGCAATAGCCGCCAAATGTTTTAGAACCTTATGGTCAATATGTAGGGCTTTTAGTCATGTCGATGCTAAGACGGCCACTATTGTCAGGACTAACACAGACCATCAAGCCTCCTGTCCTCTTCGAACTGAAACTGAAGATCATTTCATGGAAAAGTTGGCAGTCAGGTGACAAATAATTTATCCTGGGTTACGGAACGTTTCTAAAATTTTCCCGCGTAACCTCTGTTTTTGAAAACTTGAAAAAAGAGAGAACGTGGCATGAAAATTTGTAAATGAGTAATTTAAGAACTGTAATCAAGTCACTTTTGATAATTTTGTATGACAAAGAAATTAGTTTGAATCTAAACTCTCTGTCACCGAATAGAAAAATAATAAGCTTTCCAAATGTTTAAAAAGTGTGCATTTTACCTCCAGGTTTTTAAAGTATGAATATTGTACAGAAATGAGGACCATCTATGAGATGTAAGTTCTCATAGTAATTTGTGAAACACCCCCCTGAATGCTTGTATTTAGTTTCCATCATGATGTAGACTTGTATTGTTTATGGATGTTTTTATATCTGGTGGTTCTGTCATATCATCACGCGTATGTCTGTTTATTCGATTCAGTTGTACTGACCAATCGAAGTGTTTATTACACTTAATTCAGTTTCAGTCCTTGTGCGAGAAGGATACATACTTGTAGCTTGTTAGTACTCGAGTTCAGGTCAAACAAATACTGACCGATATGCATCATAACGCACTTGAAAGTAATTATCGGCAATCACCAAATTCCAGAGCATCCAGATAGATTCTGTAAGTCAATTCGAAACTCCGAACTGTCCCTTTTATTTCGTGCCGCTCTTCATATCTTGATATTATCAGTACCTGCCAAGACGAATGACGGCAAGGGACTAGGAAGGTCATTTACGTGCAAGACGAATAATATTAGTCGCGAAACGTTTCTCTAGAGCACTCTACCGAGCACAGTTTCTTACTTAAACAACTTAGAGTCAACCTATACTCCTTTTTGGGATCCAACTAAAAAGTCGTATCCAAAAAAGTGAGTTGCTTATTATCCTGATATCACCAAACTTCGATAACAACTTGTTGTGCGGAGCTTTGTTAAAAGCCTTACTGAAGTCAGTGAAGGCTACAACTACGGGTAGCTTTTGATCTTTTATAGCCCGGCAACCTTCTCATGCGACCACTAGACATGTGGACCTGGGTAACCTATTCTAATACTTTCTGGTTTTCATCTAAATGCTTAAACAGTTACTTGACAGTATTGTTTTCTAGAGTCTTGATAGCTACATTGGTTAAACTAGCAGGATGATAGTTCTTGGGTTTACTCTTTGTACTTGTTTTGAAGACAGGGCATACTATGGAGTTCATTCTGTCTTTTCGTAGTTCATCTTGAGTTACAGATAGACTAAAACACGTACTCACAAGATTTGCAATGAGAGATGCATGTACCTTCAGTAACAGTGCCTCTGTTGTTAGGGCATTTCATTTTTGTTCACTGAGTCCTAGGTTTGAGCTTCGTACCACCTCATTTCTTCGGAGAGCCAGGTAATCAATCATCCCTCACGCTTAGGCTGTGGTTCATACCCATTCATCTCATTGAGTCCTATGGATTTTTATTTGGTAGACCAAAGATATCGGGTTCTTTAGTGGCCTCAGTATCGGGCGTATGGACTGCAGGATTTACATATTTCTGGAAGAAAGGCGTCCCTGATGTGTACATAATGATAAAGTAGTTCGACAATACGAGATTTAACACAGTCGTTTCACACTGGTGATTTCTTAGTGCTATCTTCATGCAACACTGGGATATCGCCCCCTCTCTTCCTCATTCGACTAATGTGAGAAAACAAGTTTGTACTTTCTGTGGTATCCTTAACAAGCTTCTCTTCACACTCCCCTCTGGAAATACGTGGGGCTGAAACAATTATTTCTGGCCTTCTGATACCGAGACTTGGTTTCATCCTTACTTAGTAACATAAATCTCCTCTAAATTGTTTCTTACCAATTATACCTCAGGTCCATCTTTCAGCTTCTCGTTTTTGTGACATTTCTGTGGAATTATGTTCTATTTTGTATATATCTACTGCTATAATAATGTTCCTAATCCCAAACCTTTGCATTTGTCATGATGTGACTATCTTTCCTATAAGATCTTCCGTGGAATTCACATCCTTGTCTACACTGACGTGCCATATAAGGACAATCACTATGTTGCGTTTAACACTTCTGAGCAACACATTTTGGTTGGGGGTAATATAATATATTTAATGCGGAAAAATATGTGTTACATAAGGTTGACCTCGCCTGCATGTTTAAGCCTTGTCATGCCGATTGGTTGAATGTTACTGCTCTCTCCATCTTTGTCTCCTAGTGTTACGTGTTTAAATTGAATGGGTGGCGTGGTGTCGAATCGAGATTGACTATGAACACCACTACAAAGGAACGCGTGCCAGGATATCCGTAAAACCCCCTGGAAGCCAAATATCAGAAGGCAGTTAATGGAACAAGTCGAGATGTATTTGCTGGCGATCTCGTGGTGTCGAAAGAATACCGAGATCGTACCAGGATACAAGCTTGGTTACTGAGCGTAACCGGATTCGCGCGAGGTCACAATCGAAGTAAGTATAATGGATGTTCTTAGCACAGTTAAATAAAGAGCACAGTAAAACAGTCACTGGTACAATTGGTTATAATAATCATTGTTCTCATTAAACCCATCGCGTTCTCGTGATAAAAGTAAGTCACTACAAATGTTCTCAATAATTATATGTTCAGCTTCAAAGATTGTGTGGTTAGAAACCAAAACCACTACAGCCTTATAACAATCATGAAATCCTAGCTCCATTTCTTAATCATATCACTTTATCCTGAGGTCAGCGTGCAACATATTTTGGAGTCTGAGTAATCCATTTATTCATTGTCCATTCAATAGTAATTAGTCACTTTTATTGCAAAATCTAAATGCTGCATTTTCGCAGACTGATTTTATTTGATTTAAAGTCTGTCTGGTTATCTAGTCTATGCAGCTTTAGCAAGGTGACCCTGAAGATATTTGGAGACACTAGCTAGTTTGGTTGACATTTTGGCAACTTATTGTCTCGCTCGAAGAGAGTCCGAACTCTCACTATCCTTGAATTTTCTGAAGATATATGACCTGTCAGTGTGATCGTTCTCCGACTTTTAATCTACATTTGAAAGCCATACAGTCGGTTCTTTATTTGCAAAATGTCAATCAATTGTCTCAGACTTGGCTGTTCCTACGTTTCCACACCAATCATTCTCTGTTCTCGTTCTCTTACCCTCGATCTTCTTAACGTTCTGTACCAAGCATTTCATTTTCGAATGATCCTCACCTGTGTTCTGCTTCGCTGCAATGCTATTTACAAAAAAGAGTAGGAAAATGAGTCAATACTTCGCAAAACAAACATACTGGTTGTACAGACGTTGCTTGTAAAACTCAATGGTCGTGCGTCCAAAAGTAAGTCTACAATTATGAAAGAAGATTGGTAATTT